AAAATGCATCAAAAGAGCACTGGGTCCCAGTTCCACAGTTTACCTAAAGTGTGAGTGGTCAAGAGGCCAACTACTGAGCCTTAGATTTCTGCTCTTCAGAATGGACATACAACTGACTTAGGTCTTGGTGTTTACTGAAAACAATGACCACAAAATAAATCTGTAAATCAAAACATATTCATGCTCCCTACGCCTCTGATCCTAAAACAAAAAGGAGGACAAGGAATACCATAATGTCTATTCGAATTGTCTTAATTACTCAGATTTTCCCTTCCTCTTTATACCAACTCTCTTCTAACTGAAGGTCAAGGAGGACTTCCAAACTTATTGTCCATTCACTGTGTTGTTCACAGATGTCAGTGACGAGCGGAAGGCCTCTGTGAAATCTTAGGGAAAAATGAATAACTATATCATTCTTTAAAAAAAGGAAATGCATTTATTTATTTGAAAGGCAGAGAGAGAGAAGGAAGGGGCAGAAAGAGAAGGAAGAGAGTGAGAGAGAAATCTTCAATTTTCTGCTTCACTTCCCAAAGGGGTCAGGTCTGAGCAAAGAGCAGAAACAATTCATCTGTTCTCCCACCCAGGTGGCAGAGGCCTAATCACTTAAACTGTCTTCTGCTGCCTTCCAAGGCACAGTAGCAGGAGATTGCATCATAAGTGGAAATGACAGAACCCAAGCCAGCACTCTGTTAGCCCACTCTACCAAAATGCCCAGTTCTGTATTTCATGTCTAGTTGTACGAACACTCATAAATATATTGAAAGGTAAAGTAAAACTGCTGTGTCTCCTAACAGGTCATCTCACAGTACTATAATGCAAATTGCTAAATTTAAGAAAGTAACTCACGTTATAACTTTAGAACAGTGTTTTTGGTTTTTTTTTTTAATTATAGAATCAATTATTGTTCTAATGAAATTCATCAGAGAACACAAAGTCTCATCTAACACCATCTTTTCCCAACAATGCAAATTAGTACCAGGCAATGATGCAAAAACATGAAAACAAACTACCAAAACAGGTGCTGCTGTCTAACCAGATGCTCTAGAATAAGGTCTGAGAGCTAAGGGAAGGACCAAAGAAGACTGTCATGAGCCAACAAGTTAAGAAACACAGTCTCTTCAAAGCTGTACTCACTATGAACTGCGCCTGTTTTAAAAATATATTCTTTTTTTTTAAAGCAAAAGGAAAAATTTATTTCTAACAATGATAAAATATTGGTGAATATCATATAAACATTCATATCTACAAACTTGCTGAAAGAATATGTTTTATACCTAATGGAGAATATGTAAAATATAGAGTCTAAGAGCCATATAAGATGGTTTCAAAAATTCATTTAAAACATGTAAGACTTAAATTTTCACTCTGGTGTAAAATTTTTTTTGAAATCCATCTAAGGTAGCTCAAAAAAAGTTCATGTAAAATCTGTATTATGAAAACACTATGCTCGGGCCCGGCACCTTGGCTTAGCGGCTAAAGTCCTCAACTTGAGTGTGCCTGGATCCATATGGGCACGGGTTCTAATCCCAGCAGCCCTGCTTCCCATCCAGCTCCCTGCTTGTGGCCTGGGAAAGCAGTGGAGAACAGCCCAAAACCTCGGGACCCTGCCATCCACGTGGGAGACCCGGAAGAGCTCTTGGCTCCTGGATCGGTGCTGCTCCAGCTGTGCGGAGACATGGGGAGGGAATCATCAGATGGAAGATCTTTCTCTCTGTCTCTCCTCCTCTCTCTATATATATCTGACTTTGCAATGAAAATAAATCTTTTAAAAAAAACACTACTCTTACATTTCAAAAAAATTTACATTGAAATATCTTTTTATCCCATTTTATATAAACTTTCTAAAGCACCTCTGTATGTATACCTAAAAGTTTTACAGATTTATAAATGAGTGTGTGTGAAGAAACAGAATCCTCTTTTATCACTGGCTTCCATTACTAGCACCCACCACAACATCTGGGACACTGAAGCCAATTGGTAAGTACTTGCTTTTATTCATTTCAGAGAGAGAAAGAGGGAGAGGGTGCTGCCATCATCTGGTTTACTCTGCAAATGCACATAATGACCTTTGATGGGTTATGGCTCAGAGCAGAATCCAGAAACTTGATCCTGGCCTTCCACACGGGTGGCAGGAACCTTATTACTTGGGCCACCATACCGGGCACTGCATTAGCAGAAAGTTACGGTCAGAGGCAGGCAGCGATGTCAAGCTTAGGAATTCCAACATGGAATGCAGGCATCTTAACTAATGTCTTTCTAGAAAAATACTATTCATTCATTCATTTATTTATTTAGTGTGAAAGGCAGAGTGACAGAGAGGCAGACACACACAGAGACAGAAATTCTTAGATCTATTGGTTCAATCCTAAAAACTGCTGCAACAGCCAGGTCTGGGCCAAGGTGAGGCCAGGAGCCAATGACTCCCCTGGTCTCCCACATGAAGAGAAGGGGTCCAAGCACTTCACCCGTCATCAGCTGCTTTCCCAGAGGCATTAGCAGGAAACTAAGTCAAAAACTGAGCCTCAGACTGGCCTAGGATGTAGACGTCTCAAACAGTGGGTTACCCTCCACCCTTAACTGATGTCTGAACTTGTAGGCCAAATGCCCACCCCATAAGTCCTTGCTGAATAAATTGACATTCCAATTAAGGCTATGATATTAACACAAACAGCACCAGCAAAATTACATGTACTTAAATGTAATTTTAAAACCATTTAGTAAAGCTACTGAAACAAGTCAAATCACTTTCAACTAGAGACCAATTATATAATAATTGTAAAAGAAGCTGAACATTCTACCCTGTGCAGTGTAAATGAGGCAACATCTCATAAAGATAACCACAAACAAGGCAAACAGCAGTGTGGAACATCCAGTCGCAGTCTCCACTTTGAGTGGATTCCAGGGGGCCACCTTAACAGATTTCATTATAGCACCACCATGGCAAATACTGTGAGCCTAATTAAGTAATTAGTAAGGGATTTCCTGTACAAAAATAATACTTTCTCCTTTTAAAAGTGGCCACCTATTGGGTTTGTAAATTAGCAGTATTGAATTAAAGGTAAACAATATAAAGGGGGAACAGGCTGCATGTTATTCAAAAAGAACAATCAAAAACAAGCTCAAGTGTTTAATTCCAGGAAGTTTATGCAGTTCCCTATAAAGTTCCAGATAATTATTTATTTTACCATATAAATATCACCATTAGAAGATGTAAGTAATTAAAATTTTACTGCTAATTACTGCTATGCTAGTGGAAATCCATTGAAACATTTAAAATCATATAGATAACTGTAACTGATTTTAAATTTTCCAGATGCCCTCCATAGCTCATAGTCAATTCTTAAAGCCTTGTGTAATCATTAATTATATAACAACTGTGCTAATCATTTACTCTACATTCAAATTTCCCTAAACATTTTGTAGGAAATTTTTGTGTTCGTGGTAGCTTATTAAACAATGGAATCAAACCACAGCAACTAATATTATTATTTTCTACACAAAGATATGTCTAATAAAATGTCTTGAAACCATATACTTTGCCTGCCTCTGGCTCAATTTTTCTAAAAACTTAACCTAATGTTTGAGGGTAAGGCGTACTTTTCATGAAAGATTTTTCCAGGTTTCAATGCTGAAAAAAATACTATCACAAATATTCATCTCAGATTTAATTACATTGATACTTCTTTGCTTATCTCTTATTCTGAGATAAATCCATTCACAATACATTCAGATATATAATGATCTCACCCTGATTCCAGATTAATTTAGAAGCTGAATCAGTACACAACTCTTGAAACAAAATTAATAACTGTCATCATTTTTGAACTAATCAGTGTTGCAATATTGTAAATAATCTTCCACATAGAAATGCTTTTCTTTTTAAGAGAGATTTATATTAAAGTCAGAGTCAGATAGAGAGAAGGACAGAGAGAGCCAGAGATCTTCCATCTACTAGTTTACTTCCCAAATGGCTGCAATGGCTGGCGCTGGGCCAGACTTCAACAGAGAGCCAGAAGCTTTGCCTGGGTCTCCCACCTTGAGGCAGGGACCCAAACATGTAGGCCATTTTCTACTGCTTTTGTCAGGCCATTAGCAGGGAGCTGGATAGGAAGCGAAGCAGCCCACACACCCTATATGGGAGGCCAGTGTCACAGCCAGCAGCTTTCACTAATATGCCATGATGCCAGCCTCATCAAAATGCTTCTTACCAACTGTCAATTACAGAGTGTTTACAGGCACCTACACATCATGATACTTCTGTTCCACTACCCTTCATTCATTTGTTTGTTTTTAATATCCATACTATTCTCTCTCTCTCTCGATATATATGTATGTATATATATATATATATATCTTGATAATTGCATTTATTATGAAAATAAAAAATGCTAAAGCTCTAAGGGATATAAACCTTTGTCTAATTTCCTCAGTCTAGTTAAATTTTAAAAAGAAGCTGATATCACCCAGAGATTGATACATATATATAAATATAAACATAAATATAGATTACAGTTATGAGAAAGAGAGTAAAGAAAGATAGGAAGCGGGTAGGGGTGAATCTCAAAGCTATATAATTTCAGAACTAGATCAAGACTCTCATGACACAGAAAAATATAATATTGTCATCTTTAGTATAGGCAATCTCTGACAAGAGAAGCCTAGTTCCTAGGAAATTTTTTAAAATTATCATTCATAATTTAAAGAACCACCATAATAAATAAATCACCTTTTGTAATAAAGTGACCTTTTATATCAGCCAGTGGGAATTCAGAGAAAGAAAATAACTCTCTAGTAATTGAGTGCTCTCACTATGTTCCCCAACATTTCCAAGACCCCACTGGAACACCAGAAGGCAAAGAAATCTTTTGTTTCCACTTAGAATCTAATTAAGGATTCACTTTCTCTTTGGGAGAATTTCATTAAGATTTCCATATTTGCAAGCTAGATGTTATAGGACTGGTTGCACATAACCATCATAACATTGTGCCATTATAACCCACCTCCTTAGCCATGTCTGTGTACTTCTGCTTTTCCTTTGGATCAAGAACAGCCCACCAATCAGCTAGTATCTTGGTAGCACCTCGGTTATCGAGCCTGGGGTGTTCCTGACGTACAAGAGAGCGATGTCGTTTACAGAATAAAAGAAATGCATTCATTGGTCTCCGAGCTCGCTGTTCTGGCGACTCATCATCTTCGGTCTCACCAACATCTTGTTCTAGGCCATCAGCCCCAAGAAGTTGAACCTATTTTCAAACAAAGCAAAGGCTAGATTTTAAACACATATTGGACAGTTCTGATAGAACAATTAGTCTTAGTGTGAAAATTTTTCTTATCTCCATTTAAGCAACTTACACATCAAAAAGAAATGATTTTTAAAAAAATTATCAACCATTATTGGCAGCTGGCAACTAACTTTCGATGCACTTATCCTCTGCTTCGTTTCCATGGCAACATGAGCATGTCTATTACAGCAATGTATTATATTATAATTGCTGACATTTCTTCTTACTAAACAGTGAACTCTTTGAGGACAAAAACTCTCTAATTTATCTTTATAATGTCAACATGTAGCTCAATATCTGGTATAGCATTAGTGCTTAACCAATTGATGAATGAATGAAGAAAGCTATGGATTATGAGTCTCAAGATGAACAATATCCGTAAATACGTGAATATGTACTCTGTCTTTCCCCTCCTCAGGAAGTCTACAGAAAGCAGATAGTAAAAAACTAAAACAGAGCACTCAGGATTTTTGCACACACCACCACTGGAGCTTCCTAATGTAACAGAGACATTAAACATGGACATCTCACAGAAGAACTACACAGTAAATCTTTCAACTTTTAAATATCAAGCTTTTTTATCTTGGTGAATGTTATGGTGATAGAAATAAGCTTCCCTAAGCTCAAACCTCCAAAATCTTTTTTGATTCCTCCCTTCTCCTAAGCCACTTAGCATAACTATCATTCACGGTCTTCAAGGATTTCTACAAAGCTATAAATCTGTCCATTTCAGGGAAATAATTCTCATTAACAGTGCCCTGCCCTTATTACTACTTTGGCCTAAGGGTTAGACTTCCTGGTTTTAATCTCTATAATATTTCCTCATATGGCTGCCAGATTAAATATCTAAAAGCAACTCCGAGATCAGAGAATCTCGGAAAGATTGTGAAGCATCTTCTAAGGCTAAGATATTATTTCATGGTGTTTCTCGGAAACAATTCAAGCAGGAGCATAAATCCAAATGTCTGCCAGAAATCAATTCTTTAATGTCTTATTTTATAGTTGAAAATGGCAAGATGGATCAAAGTAGTCATCAGTCTGCTTTGTGCAGTAAGGCAGTAGTTCTTGAAGCTGAGCGTGTACTGGAATTGATTATGGATTGCAGGTTCCAATGCCAGAGTACAGGTGTTTCTAACAAGATCCCAGCGGTTGCCGATGCTGCACATCTGAAGACCACACTTAGAGAAGCATAACTATTTTTTATATAACATTGAATGGACAACTATAATTGGCACAAACGATGACAAATCAGATCCTTCACCTAATCTACTATTTGAAAGCCTTTTAATTTTAAGTAACTATTAAGACAGCACTGAATTCATCAATTAGTTTCAAACACAAACAGTGTAGAAAAATATTAGCTACAGCTATCCTATATTAGTGAGAGGCTACATTTTTACCTAATTTTGTATACAGTCATTAACAACAATTTACATCTTTAAGGAATATTTATTTATTTAGTAGTCTGAAACTCAGAAGCTAAAGTAGGAAAAATGTAAAGGAAGTAATTGTATTTTCTCTTTAGAGGAGAATAACTTTTGATTCTAATACAAAATTATAAACCTTAAGGTCAAATCTGGGGGGAAAAAAAGGAGCTTTTGGGGATGAGAATAAGACAAATAAATAAATTAAAAAGCAACGCAATGACTAAAACAAGAAACCAGTGAGATAATAAAGTGTAAAGTATTATTATAGTAATAAACTATTATAAAATAGTTGAGACATAAATGTACAGGAAGGTCTCCCTTGACAAAATGTTGTCTGCCCTAAATTCTGAAAGATGAATTAGAACGTATCAGTGGGTAAATAGGGAAACTAACAGGGATTAAGAATTGAACATCAATATGCAGATCCATGGCACTGCAATATACAAAAGATTACAGGAGCATTCTGGGAGATAAGGTTACAGAAGGTTTGTGTGCCACTTCGGACAGAATGTTCTCTGTCATGCAGCAATAAAAAAGTTTAGTTTGACAGAGATGAACAACTCCCTCTTTTGCCAAGCACATACTCCCTACAAGTTTCTTAAACTACTACCTAAGGTTACAGCTATCCATTTCATTAGCTAAAACATGAACAAATAATAAATGATTGATGAAGACAAAAAACTCTGGACTCATTTTGCTTTTACCAAGGACCTTTTAACATTTTCATGTATTAATATGATAAGGAATCAACAATAGCACCTACAGCTGGACCCAAAGGAGAGTCAAGCAGGTTATAAGTAGGGGGAACATTAGGTTTAAGGAAAAACTCTTTACACAGCTATAGCACATATGTTTTAGGAATAAAACTGGAAGAAAAACTGGGGAACCCAACCAAGTTTATTGCAGGCAGAAATTGGAGAGTTGAAGTCAAGGCAGTGGTATAGGAATGAACATGCAAGAAAAGAGATAACTTTGGGGCACCACCCCCCATGACACCAGCATCCCATATTGGCTGAGTCCTAGTTGCTCCACTTTCAATCCTGCTCCCTGCTGGTGTGTTTGCGAGGGCAGAAGAGGATATTTCAAGTGCTTGGGTCCCTGCACCTTTGTGGGACACCCTGGTTTCACCCCTGCCCAGCCATGACCAGCGTGTCTGTTTGGGGAGTGAACCACAGAATAGATCTCTGTCTACATGCCTCTCTCTCTGTAACTTTGCTTTTTCAAATAAATCTTCTAAAATGACAGAAATAATACTCATGAGGTGGAACCAAGAGTGCTTAGTTATCTAGATGGGCTGTAATTGTTGACAAAGCAACAATGCTTCCACCTCAAGTAGAAAGGCTTCTTCTCATACAATGAAGAATAATTTTTCTCTAGTAACAGAAATTAGATTTGTGGGAAGCAGAAAACCAAGGCTGGACAGTTCAAATTTAAAGCAGCTATGAAGTGTGCTATGTGGACACCCAAGTCTAGGAGAACATTTTGACAGATGCCAACAGAGAAGGTAGTCATGCTATGGAGGTAGAAAAGATGGCTAAGCATAGAGTGACAAAAGAAGCAAATTTAACGATCTTTATTTTTCACTCAATATAATTATTTACTAACACCTGCTATGGGCCAGGTGCTGTTGGAGGTGAAAAAGAGCAGTGATGACACTAATTCCCCGCTTCTGTGAAAGAGAGAATGGCATAATCAACCTTACCAGTTAAAAGAATTCGGATTTATTGTTCAGAACAGACTGAAGAGCAAGATCAGGGACAGGGAGAGGGTAGGAACAAAATTCTGCACTAGGAATGGTGGTAGTGTGGATCCCAGTGCTGGTACAGTGTTGTTAAGAAGACATCATGAGACATATTGTCAAGGTAATGTAAGAGGATTTGCTGACGAATCCAAGGCTCAAACAAAATAAGGCATGTAAATAATATCTACAAAGCTGTAGGTCTGGCAAGCTAGCATGTTGCAGTTCCCATATAACAAGAACAGGAAGATGCTGTAGAAAGTTTAAAATAGAAAAGCAAAAGCTTTGCTTTAAAACACATTTAAATTGGAATTCGTAGTTGATATTTAAGTGGATATAGCAAGTACACAGTCAGAACTATGAGTCTAGGAGCAGGCATTTTGGCACACAGATTTCAACTGCCACTTGGAGACACTCACTTCCCACATCAGAATGCTGACTTGCACCACGGCACTTCTATATTCAATCCAGCCTCCTTCCAAGGTACCTGGGAAGACAGAGGATGATGGTCCAAGTGCTTGGAGGCCCTGCCACTCATGTGGGAAACCCAGCTGGGGTTTCTGTATCCTGGCTTCTACCTGATCCACCTTAACTGTTGTAGACATTTGAGGAGTGAACCAGTGGATGGAAGATTTCTGTGTCACTCCTCTCCTTTCAAATATATAAATCTTTTAAGCATATGTATGAAAGAAAATTCAAGGACCAGAAAACAACATCTGAGAGTAAAACATGGAGACATATCAAATGAAAAAATTGGGGAAGGAACAGTGAGCAAGGTAGAAATAGAAACATGAATGCCCCTGCAGAAATAGGAGAAAGCTTCAAGGAACAAGTGAGCAACAGGTGCAAATATGCCAGAAAACTTAATTAACTATAAGCTTGACAATTTCCCTAAACAGGAAAAAAAAAGAAGTGAGAAGAGAGCATAGGTACATAAAAATGCTGAAGGAGTCATCCCAGTGGCTTCTGCTATCTTTGTGAAAGAGGACAAAAGATCATCATGGGAGGACCACAGCAGAGATCTACAGAGTCTTCCACGGGATGTGAGGAAAAGGGAAAATGTTTGCAATTCCTGCTGAGATTAGTGCAAAGAATGAGGACAAAATGGTGAATAACCATTAAAGGCCTGAAAAACGTTAAAAACATGTTTACAAAGTTTGCAGTGGCACAACATGTTATTTATTCCTCCATTCAACTAAGGCCTACTATGTGCCTGCGTGGTTGGATGACTTTCTAAACGAGAGCTGCTGCTGAGTGATGTGGCTAGAGAAGCAGACTCACAGGACACACAGATCACACGGGGCCTGGTGCAAGTGTATACACACATGTTGGGAAGGTCGCAGAGATGAAGACCAGCACAGCAGCTCTGGGACAGCCTTTGGTGGCAGGGCTGGGCCAGGCTGGAAGTGAGGGGCATAGGTGAATATTCAAGTTCTGTTAATCTTCCCAACCCATTTGAACACCATTTACAAACCAATAGCAGACTGACTGAAATATTATTTAAGAAGGATCTACTGGTTTCTGAACATCCAGCAGTACAGCTAATTCAAGGGCAATCAATAAGTGGAATGTAGTGGGCAGGGCAGCACAACAGGTTCAGCCACTAGCTGAGATGCCACCACTTCATATCAGAGTGCCTGGTTTCAATCCCAACCTCCATTTCTGATTCAGCTTCCCGCTAATGTGTACTCTGGAAGGCGATAGATGACAGATCAAGTACTTGGATCACTTCTAGCCATGCAGAAGTTTCCTGCTTTGGCCTGGCTCAGCACTGGATGTATCAAGCATCTGGGGAGGGAACAAGTGGTTGGATGTATATACATATGATTTCCAAATAAATAAAAATAGAAACTTTAAAAAAACAAACACAAATATATAGTTACTCAGAATTCAAGTTATACAGACTTTTAGGAACCCAATTTCTATACCATACATATTCAGTATGGATTCAATAATGCTATGAGTGTTTAACAAGCCTGAAATGTGTACAGTGACGGCAAGATTTACTTTATCAATATCTTCCTCTTCGTCTTCCTCTTCCTCTTCTTCTGAAAAGTCGAGAAGTTTCTTTGCTAGCAATGGATGCCACTGGAGACACTTCCTCTTTGGTCGTTTTCCAGCCCCCTCTCCTTCTGCTGAATGATCTTTATTTATATTACTGCCTTTCATTACTCTGACCTGTAGCAAGAAGACAGACAGAGGCACGTAAACACACACATATGGAGACAGAAATCCAAGGAAATGTTATTGAAATTTGTTTATTTATCCCCCTTAGCTTTAAGTGGACTTTAGTTTTAATGACTAAACTACCTACCAGTTCAGTCATTTACTAGATTCAGTGAGAATTATAAGTACATAACCAAGCCCGTTTCAATGGGCTAAATGGAGCCTGTAAAATTTGACTTTTAGGATATGCACTTCCTCCCACTACTCTGCAACTAAAAATGAAAAATCCAAACAAGCTTTAGGATGAGTACCAGTTTCCCTCACCTGTTTATGTTTCTCAGTTTCCCATCAAAGGAATATGTGAGCAAGATGCCTACTATGGGAGCCAAAGTGCTCACTGAGGTGGCTGCCAGGCATTCTCTAATGGCTCCTGTTCTGTTAGAACCATCTGCACGAATTTTGTGTTCTACACTACAAGAAATTCGTGCTTGTGAGATTAGTCAGTCAAATGATCCTAAGAAATTATTTCATTTGACATAAGGCTATTCTGTGAGATTACATGTTTTAAACAGTATGCAGCTTCCAAGGATTCGCTGCACAAACAGGCTGTAGGTCACTTAACAGGATGAGCGCACTATGACACAACAAAGAAAAAAGCCTTCATCTCTCTCCAACCTACAGAAATCTGCTAACAGAGCTTTGCTCCTAGTTTAATATTATTAATGGACTATTGATTAGTTAAAAAGTAGTCAGACTGTGAAGATAAGTTCTTTTAGAACCCAAAACTCAATCACTTTTTAATACAATTTAAAAACTTTTTGCTGATGTTAAAAAAATCAGCACATACTCATTTCATACAGAAAAAAAAAATAACCAGAATGGCATTTGCCCTCTCCATTATGCTCTTGCCAACAGTCCAGCAGAATTGCACATTAATTTCCCACAAGATTTCTTGGAGTTTTTTTACTTGTTCTTTGTCACTCATTCAAAATCAGTTAGTATACAAGTTACTGATTAGATACACTCAGGCAAAAACAAAACAAATGCATCCAACAATCAAATGCCATCAATTTCACTGATTTCTGGATACTTAAAACACAAATGCAGTTAATAAAAATCACTGGGTAGTGGCCACGGAAGTTGGTCTTGGTCCATTGCCTGCAAAGTAACAGCATTAAACTTTTCATACCACATTAAAAGTGAAACAGGGGAGGAAATAGGTTGGGGGAGTTGGCATTGTAGCTAAATAAATTAATCCCCCACCTTCAAATGTTCAGCATTCCATGTGAGCACTAATTTGTATCTCAGCTGCCCCACTTCCCATCCAGCTTCCTGCTTGTTGCCTGGAAAAGCAGCAGAGAATGGCCCAAATACTTGGGACACTGCACACACAAGTGGGAGACCTGAAAAAGACTCCTGGCTCCCGGCTTCAAATCAGCTTAGCTCTGGTCATTGCAGCCATTTGGGGAATAAACCAGCAGATGGAAGATTTTTCTGTCTCTCCTCTATAAAATTTGCCTTTCCATTAAATAAATTAATGTTAAAAAAAAAAAACACTAGGCTGTAAGAACATGTAGTATCCAGCTTCACTCAGCTTCCAAGTCTTCTCAAAAACACGGCATAGGCAAATTCATATATATGTCTTCTTTAATTATTCCTGGATTTCATGTCAGACTCAGATCTTTCTTACTTTAAAATCACGAAAAAAAATCAGTATCTTTTTTTCTTAGATCTTACCTGACTGCATATTGTATATCCTTAATATTTGATCCATTGGGATAAAAGGAATGAGATAATGACAGAGCTTATTCTTTTTTTTTTAAACAGCTAAATATGGCATTATCATTTGCTAAATAATCCAGTTTTCCGCCATTCCTTTGGAATGTAACTTTTATTCTATACTACATTATCATATGGATATGAGTCTATCTCTGGATTCTGTTTGCCTACCCTTTGATCAGTGGCAAAACTGTTAGGGTACAGTTTAAAAATATACGATTATGTAGACATTTAAAACATTTGTTTTCATCAAAATAACCACATTTTCTCTAGGTTAACACACCAGAATATGTCTCAACATTTTTGTTTATCATATTTCAAAATGTGAATTATCCCAATTTACTTGGTCTCTACTGATGATCATTCAAATTATTTCTTGCAGTCATTTTATTAAAATCATTTTAAGTGACCATTTTGATAAAATAATCATTGATTTATGAAATACTATGCACACCCCCCTTCAAAATAAGAAAGAAGGAAAACAAAAACTTTCTTGGCCTCCAGGGCAAGAAATTTCTGCTGAGTATCAAGCAATTACAAGACTCCTGTGGCTGCCTCTACAGTGCAAGAAGTTACTGAAAACTCTAAAAGGAATTATTTAGTGTGCTCTTTATAAAGGAACAAAGAAGTCTTATGAATTGACAGACCATTTAACAATTACCATTCTATCTGCAAAGAAAACTTGGCACAGGCAATCCAATTTCCAAAAATATAAATGCTACACAGAGAAAGGAGAAAACGGGTATTTTTATGGTTTATTAATCACCTTACACTTGATCTTAGGCGAAAGGCTGAGAAGCGATTTATTAATCACTTTAGACTGAGCTGCTTGAGTGGTAATTAAACCCATATTGGAGGCACACTAGTTTATGAGATAACTTGGTAAAAAAAAATAAATCAATGAAGAACTCGTAAGTCAAGCAGTTTTTAATCAACTGAAGACAATAAAAGTGATTGCCAATGCTCACAGATCCAGGAATCCTTAATTAAACTATGTATACTTATGTGTAAATGTATTTATATACACATATATATGAATATATAAACATATGTGTGCACCTTTGGTTTTTTTCAAGCACCTCAGTATTCAAAGAGAAAACAGAATCTCAATACATAAATTAATGGGCAGTTTATATGACTTTTGAGTTCCAAACAATCAGAATTCATTCCTTCCACTCGAGTTTTTTCCATGTAACCCACATGTTACTTTGGATACAATGTCTTTTCTAATACTACAAAATTAATCTCTTCTCATGCATAAATACACTAGAATGACTTAATATTGCTAATAACATTACCACATTGCCCTTTAAACTGTACCAGCCTCCACAGATTGGCCTTTTCTTGGTGGACTAAGACTGTGTCAGCTCAGAAGCATCCTGAGACAGCAGCACACGAAAAGCAGCTGGCTGCAAGAGTTGTCAGTAAGACCCCTGGCGCTAAACTGTCGTCATGACTCACTCTTCTTGGATGATTTCAAAAGCAAGCACCATCTCACTCATTTCTCTTGATTTTGAGATTCTGAGAGGGAACAGATGTGGGTTGGAAAAGTTTGTGGCTCCAGTGTGCAGAACACAGTGGCAAGTGGGTGAAGGGAAACAGAGTGACAGGCGCCACATCCTACCTCCCCCTGAAACAGTGCCTAGAAGAAAGCAGATATACTTTTAGAACAGATGGAGGATGAAGAGCTAAGTGGAGATGATGACCTGGAGATGATACCGGTCATATTATTAGTAACTATGAAATGCCTCCATGTTCAAATAATTTGTGGTTATCTAATTATGTTTTAATTCTCTATGGATCTATTTTCAATTTGTAAAAGAAGATACAATACTGGGGACCAGCACATCACCTCAACTAGCTAATCCTCTATCGCTTATTGGCACAAGTTGGTGGCCCAGCTTCTCTGCTACCCATCCAGCTTCCTGCTTATGGCCTGGAAAAGCAGTAGATCATGGCCCAAAACCTTGGTCCCTACAACAGCATGGGAGACCTGAAAGAAGCTCCTTCCTCCTGGCTCCTGGCTTCAGACTGGCTCAGCTTCCACCATTGTGGCCACTTGGGAAGTGAACCAGTAGACAGAAGATCTTTTTATCTGACTCCCCTTCTCTCTCTGTAAATAAAAATTCCAATACAATTCTAAAGTTTTTTTTTAATTTTAAAAAGATAAAATCATGGTGGATAGGGAATGATTTCCTGAGTATCATTTAGCAATAATGAGAAAGCAAGACTGAAGAATGAAAGATAAAAACAAAACAGTACAGATGTTTACCCATAGAGCATAATTTGAGACAGTGCTATCCCTTATCTTACTTCAACAGTGGAGAGAAGAAACTGCTAACTTCCAACAGTGATCAAGAACTAACCTTGTAACTATTTTGCCTTGAAAAATCTCACAATTTTTAGTTTGATTTCTTGTTCTGAAACAAGTACAAGTTCAGCTAACAATGTATATGCAATAAGTAAAACAATTGGTTGGCTTTATTCAATAGGAGTTATTCTTCCTTTCTACACTATAACTCTAAAATCGTTAAAATTGGGTTATTTAACTATCAATGAATCCTGTACTTGAAAGATTCAGCATCATCAAATTATCCTGCTGAAATTTCAAATAATGCTAGCAAACTATCAGAAAGAATGAATATTCAATTTGCCTTGTAAAAATAAAACAACCCAAGATTTCTCCTTTTATATGCCAAGATGAATGACCCTAAATAGATATTCACTGTACTAAATGTAACCTAAATCAACTTGACAAACCAGAAAAAGCTTAATTTAATCATATTCTTCACATGTAGTAAGCCCATAAAGGTTATTAGGTTTAAACTTCATGAGAAATTTAAAGATCATAGAAGAAAACAGTACAGAACAAGTTATATTCAAATAAAAGAAAACGGAAGGGCATTGGAACCTGACAGGCCTCGTTTGGAATCCTGCCTCTACCACTCACCACTTGTCACAAAGCCATTCATACCTTTACCATGACAATACATATAATACCCAGCACAGTACCCAGAAGGCCCTCACTCTCCTCTCAGAAGCCTTTTACAGACAGCATGTGCTTGACAGGCAGCACCTGCTGGCACAGATGCAGTCAAGGATGCTGTTCATGGGACAGCACAGATGTCTCCCATTTCACTGCGGTCCACATGCTTCACAGATGACCTCAAGTGCAGCCTCGGAAACTGCAAAGGATGGATGGAGTGCTTCCTTTGTTCTGAGTGACACAATGC